CTTTTTTGCTTTCTGCTTCTCCTGCTTCTCGCCTTTTCTGCTTTTTTGCTTTTCTGCTTCTCCTGCTTCTCTGCTTCTCTGCTTCTCTGCTTTTCTGTTTTTCCTGTTTCTTTGCTTCTCTGCTTTTCCTGCTTTTCCTGCTTCTCTGCTTTTCTGCTTTTCCTGCTTCTTTGCCTTTCTGCTGTTTTGCTTTTGTGCGTTGCCTGTTTCTTTGCTTCTCTGCTTTTTTGCTTCCCTGCTTTTTTTTTTTTGCTTTGCCTGCTTTAAATACTTGATTTCCATGTAAGATGCATTTTGCACAGTATTTACATCCCTGAGTATCACATGACCAACCTTCTATTGAAAACTAGCAACGTAACATGTGAGAAGAGGTGCTTGCATTCTGCTTTGGGGGGAGGCGCTGCGCCCTCCCCCAATCCCCCCCTCCCGCTTTTTTTTATTTAAACTTAAACCCAAGTTACATTAGTTGGTTTTTGCGAACTAACCTTCTCTGGAAAGCTGACAGGATTACATGTGATAGATAGATAGATAGATAGATAGATAGATAGATAGATAGATAGATAGATAGATAGCTGATAGATAGCTTGGTAGATAGATAGCTAGATCGATAGATAGCCAGTTAGCTAGATAGATAGCTAGATAGATAGATAGATATATAGATAGATACCTCGATAGATAGATGGCTAGATAGATAGCCAGATAGATAGATGGCTAGATAGATAGCTAGATAGATAGATAGCTAGCTAGATAGATAAAGAGGTAGCTAGATAGATAGCTAGATAGATAGATAGATAGATAGATAGCTAAATAGATAGGTAGATAGTTAGCTAGATAGATAGATAGCTAAATAGATAGGTAGATAGTTAGCTAGATAGATAGATAGCTAGATAGATAGCTCGATAGCTAGATAGCTGGATAGACAGCTGGATGGCTAGATAGATAGATAGATAGCTAGATACCTCGATAGATAGATGGCTAGATAGATAGCTAGATAGATAGATGGCTAGATAGATAGCTAGATAGATAGCTAGATAGATGGATGGCTAGATAGATAGATAGATAGATAGATAGCTAGCTAGATAGATAAAGAGGTAGCTAGGTAGATAGCTAGATAGATAGATAGATAGCTAAATAGATAGGTAGATAGTTAGCTAGATAGATAGATAGCTAGATAGATAGCTCGATAGCTAGATAGCTAGATAGATAGATAGCCAGCTAGAAAGATAGGTAGATAGATAGCTAGCAAGGTAGATAGATAGATAGATAGATAGATAGCTGGATAGATAGATAGCTTGGTAGATAGATAGCTAGATAGATAGATAGCTAGATACCTCGATAGATAAATGGCTAGATAGATAGCTAGATAGATAGATGGCTAGATAGATAGCTAGATAGATAGCTAGATAGATAGATGGCTAGATAGATAGCTAGATAGATAGCTAGCTAGATAGATAAAGAGGTAGCTAGATAGATAGCAAGATAGATAGATAGCTAAATAGATAGGTAGATAGTTAGCTAGACAGATAGATAGCTAGATAGATAGCTCGATAGCTAGATAGCTAGATAGACAGCTGGATGGCTAGATACATAGATAGCTAGACACCTCGATAGAGAGATGGCTAGGTAGATAGCTAGATAGATAGATGGCTAGATAGATAGCTAGATAGATAGCTAGATAGATAGCTAGCTAGATAGATAAAGAGGTAGCTAGATAGATAGCTAGATAGATAGATAGATAGCTAAATAGATAGGTAGATAGTTAGCTAGATAGATAGATAGCTAGATAGATAGCTCGATAGCTAGATAGCTAGATAGATAGATAGCCAGCTAGATAGATAGGTAGATAGATAGCTAGCAAGATAGCTAGCTAGATAGGTAGATAGATAGATAGCTAGATAGATAGATAGCTTGCTAGATAGATAGCTAGCTTGCTAGATAGATAGCTAGATAGCTAGATAGCTAGCTAGCTGGGTAGATAGCTAGCGCCCTCCCTCAATCCCCCCCATCCGCTTTTTATCTAATCCCAAGCTTCCGCATCTGTAAATATTTGGGTGAACATGCTCACATGTAGAACATCCCATGCAAAATGGAAGGTGAACATGCCAAAATGTGGCAAATACCATACAAAATGGAAGGTGAATATGCCCACATGTAGGAAATCCCATGCAAAATGGAAGGTGAACATGCCAAAATGTGGCAAATACCATACAAAATGGAAGGTGAACATGCCCACATGTAGTAAATCCCATGCAAAATGGAAGGTGAACATGCCCAAATGTGGCAAATACCATGCAAAATGACAAATTCAAGTTCCAAACCGTTGCAAACACTAGGCAAATGGTACCAGCCAAGAAATCAAAAATAAAACCAAACCTGCTAAAAAAAAAATCCTAAAACTATTTCACACCCGTTTTCGACCAGTTTTTATACCACTGGTTGTACAATGAAACATATGAGACATAGAACCCTCCTGCTGCTCCTGTTGCTGCTGCTGCTCTTCCTCCCGAAGCTGAAAACGCACCCTGGCGGACAGGGAAACACAGTGGCCCTGAAGGACGGAACGGCGCCAGAAACGAGCCCAAAAACTCCCTAACGTCCCTTCTGAAACCCTAGAAAAACAATAGTTTTCGACCAGTTTTTATACCATTGGTTGTACAATGAGACATATGAGACATAGAACCCTCCTGCTGTTCCTGTTGCTGCTGCTGCTCTTCCTCCCAAAGCTGAAAACGCACCCTGCCGGACAGGGAAACACAGTGGCCCTGAAGGACGGAATCCCTAACGTCCCTTCTGAAACCCTAGAAAAACAATAGTTTTCGACCAGTTTTTATACCACTGGTTGTACAATGGAACATATGAGACATAGAACCCTCCTGCTGCTCCTGTTGCTGCTGCTGCTCTTCCTCCCGAAGCTGAAAACGCACCCTGCCGGACAGGGAAACACAGTGGCTCTGAAGGACGGAACGGCGCCAGAAACGAGCCCAAAAACTCCCTAACGTCCCTTCTGAAACCCTAGAAAAACAATAGTTTTCGACCAGTTTTTATACCACTGGTTGTACAATGAGACATATGAGACATAGAACCCTCCTGCTGTTCCTGTTGCTGCTCCTGCTCTTCCTCCCGAAGCTGAAAACGCACCCTGCCGGACAGGGAAACACAGTGGCCCTGAAGGACGGAACAGCGCCAAAATCGAGCCCAAAAACTCCCTAACGTCCCTTCTGAAACCCTAGAAAAACAATAGTTTTCGACCAGTTTTTATACCACTGGTTGTACAATGGAACATATGAGACATAGAACCCTCCTGCTGCTCCTGTTGCTGCTGCTGCTCTTCCTCCCGAAGCTGAAAACGCACCCTGCCGGACAGGGAAACACAGTGGCCCTGAAGGACGGAACAACGCCAAAATCCAGCCCAAAAAGTGTCTAACGCGTCGTCTGAAACCCTAGAAAAACAATAGTTTTCGACCAGTTTTTGTACTATTGTTTGTACAATGAAACATATGAGACATAGAACCCTCCTGCTGCTCCTCTTGCTGCTCCTCTTGCTGCTCCTGCTCTTCCTCCCGAAGCTCAAAACGCACCCTGCCGGACAGGGAAACACAGTGGCCCTAAAGGACGGAACAACGCCAAAATCGAGCCCAAAAAGTGTCTAACGTGTCGTCTAAAACCGTAGAAGAACTGTGTCAAACATCGCCTTCCTGCTGCTGTGCTGTGCTGATGCTGCATGGTGTACTGGTGCTTGGCTGCTGTTGATGCTGCTGCCTAGTGCTGCTAATGCTGCAAAGGCAGCCCTCCCGGACAGGGAAACGCAGTGGCAGTGAAGGACGGAACAGCGACAAAATGTAGCCCAAAAACTGCCTAACGTGTCGTCCATGTCGTCTGAAACCGTAGAAAAACTGTGTCAAACATGGCCTTCCTGCTGCTGGGCTGTGCTGATGCTGCATGGGGTACTAGTGCTCGGCTGCTGTTGATGCTGCTGCCTAGTGCTGCTAATGCTGCAAAGGCAGCCAAATGTATTATTCCCTGGCGCGCTCCCCCTTGCGTCTGCCGGGGTCGGCGGAAAATAGAATCCTGCTGCCTGCTGCCTGCTGCCTGCTGCTGCCTGCTGCTCCTGCCTGCTGCTGCCTGCTCCTGCCTGCTGCTGGCTGTTGCTGGCTGCTGCTGGCTGCTGCTGGCTGCCTAACGCCGGCTGCTGCTGGTTGCTGCTGACAACAACAACAACAACAACAACAACAACAAACTCCAATGTCACCAATTGCACAGAAGGGTCCACCAAAAACCGCTGTGAGCCGCTACCAGTACACGTGTCCATTCTGTTCAGTTGCTGTGGCCAGCACAGTGCCTACTCCTACTTGTGGACCGCACAAGCAACAAAAGCACCTGCCAACAGCTGGCTGCTCTGCTACTGCTACTTGTGAGCGAAATCATTCGCAATAACAAGCTACCCGCTGCTGCTGCTGCTGCTGCTGCGGGGCCGGCGCAAAATCGCAGCAAAAAATGCTTGCTGGCTGCCTGCTGCTGGCTTCGTACCTCCTGACTGGCGGCTGCTGCCTACTGGCTGCTGGCTCCTGGCTGCCGACTAGTGGGCTATCTTACTGCTAGTGCTGGACTCGCTGCTGCCGCTGCTACATGCTGCTGCTGCCACTGCCGCTGCTCTTGCTGCTGGTGCGGCTAAAACTTGCTTGTCTTATTCCCTGGCGCGCTCCCCCTTGCGTCTGCCGGGGTCGGCGGATATACATTACATACACATATACACATATACACATATACACACACACATACACACATACATGCATACATACATACACACACATATGTATACATATATATATATATACATATTATGCGTATACATCTGTGCATTAGTGCATATGACCGGATATCTATATATATATATGTATATACATCTATTTTTTGATGTGATTTGCAGACGATGAGCTCTCCGTCATTAGATCGCCCGAAGTCCCCCGTCCCAGCTTTCAGCCTAGCATACCCCTTGCCAGGCACTTCCATGGTGCGATGGCAGCTGCTGCATGTCGCAGCATATTTTGGACATGCAGATGCCGTCAAGGTCCCGTGTCTACAACCCAACCATTCCCCCCGATGGATCCTGCCCCGGACAGGCCTTGGTTGAGCGGGGCGCGAAGATTGAGGCGTTTGCGGTTTTTTGTGGATGCTGGTGGCATTCCACTTTGGCATTTCAGACCATAAAACACTAGCACATACTGTACATCCAATCTGGTCCGTGTTGGTCCTATATAGCAAGTGATAAGCTTTGAGCCTGCAATAAGTGGCAACCAAATAAGCCCATAACCAGTATGAGTCGGAGAGTCTGGAAGAATCCCTACAGAGCATCATAGATGCAGCTCGCAGTTGGATCAAATTCAGGCCACAGATTGCATAGCAACAACTGCCATGACTGCCTTTGCCTTGCCAGGGACAGACCAAGTTCAAGTTAACGCCACTGCATCAGGCAGCACGCAACTGGGCCAAAGAGACCAAAGAGACCTTTGCCTGTGGAAGGCTTTAAACATCCTTGAGCCGCTGGAAGTCTTGAGAAACACCTCTAGCAGATTTCATTGGGCAGGAGCGAGTTCAGTCTGTTGGCATTTGGTAGTACTTCAGGTAATGGACAGGTTCAGATTTGCGAGATGCTACTTGACTATAAGGCAGGACGGGTGCTGGGCACATGGCAAACAGGAAAAAACGGCAGATAAAAGAACAATGGCAACCTAAGATCAAACATATTTTGGCAGTATTTCTGCATTGTTTCAGGCTGACCAACAGATCTTTCCTTGTCCGTTTCTAATGTTAACAGTCATGGTGAGTGCTTAAAAGTCATGCAATAGGATTGCCAACGCCATGCTGTGAGGCAAACATCCACCATGTGGCAGTCCAGGGTCGGACAGCTTTGCAAACTGCTGCGCACCAGGCCGGTGGGGTGCCCCCTCCAACCTGTTCGGTGGTGGAAGATGCAACATGCATTGTGATCATTACCTGCCTGAAACCACCTGCATGTGGTTTACATCGTTATGGTTCTTGAAGGAGGGTGATGAGTGATTCACTATGCTCAATGTTCTTTTAAAGTTGTTTACCTGTTTTCCCCAATGGCTAAAAGAGCCCAAGAGATTAGGATCGCGATGGATGAACTCATGCTTTGGACCTGCGGGCAGCATCACTTTTCGCCCAGGGGCACCGCAATGTGGTAGAGTTGCTCTTGGCACGGAAAGCAAATCCCAACATGAAGGATGAGAAAGGAGCAGTTTGAATGCACTCAGAAAGTCTGAATCCGTATCCATTCTACTGGGCCAAAGCTTCCATTGGCATCCATTTGAGTGGTTGTTCGCTCTTACTGTAGTTTCAAGATGTTCAAGCATGGCCGGTCTCATTAATGGCGACCTCCAACCAGTGAATGATGATTCGTAGTTATGATTCCTTGGGATTGCCCTGATGTGATTTTGATTGATTTGGTAGTCTGCCATGGTCTTGCGGTTTTTATTTCGTACCTGACGCAGTTCCTCTTTGAGGATGTCCAGGAAGGTTTTGAGTTTGGTGTCCTCAAACCATGTCATTCTTTCACATTTTAGGGGCCCTGGTGAAGCTGTTCGAACATGTTAGAATATGTTAAGATCGACCTTGCCATGAGACCTGGCCCATCACAAGGTCCAGCTGCTGAGGTAACAGCTTTGCATTCTGCGGCTCTGTCTGGCTTTGGTGACATGGTGGAGGTGGCACCAGAGAGAATTCCCGCCCTGCAGTGTGAACCCGGATGAACGTAGCCGGTTAAACCCTGTGTTGGTGAATATGGGATATTATACTAAGTTACTATATTATACTATATTATTACTATATTACACTATATTATTATTATACTATTTTATTGTACTATATTTTATGTACTATATTAAACTGTATTAAACTATTTTTTTTATTATATTATACTATATTATTATTATACTATTTTATTCTACTATACTTTATATATTATATTAAATTATATTAAGCTATATTATACTATATTATACTATTTGATACTATTTTATTGTACTATACTTCATATACTATATTAAACTATATTATACTCTATTATACTCTATTATACTCTATTATACTATATTATACTATATTATACTATATTATACTATGTTATTGTACTATATTATATACACTATATTAAACTATATTATACTATATTATATTGGAGGTATGGTTTGGAATAGGAATTCTCATGCGTCAATCCTGTTTAGAGGACCCAGCTCTAAGAATAGAGTTGGGCTAGATCAGGCGGGGGTGTCCTTGCAAGAGGGAAGCTTTGAATTTTGAATGGTTCAAGTTCTAGTTGAGATTTGGTTCTGCCATGATCATGGAAAATCCTTGGGTCCTTGATGCATCAATACAAATATGGAACATCTCTGCAAACAGGTGGGTTGTCTGTAAGTAGTGAACATCATACAATTCCAAAAGAGAGAATTTGGCCGTACTTGGCATGTTCAAGCCCTAACTGCCCTAACTCAGATAATTCAGGAGCATATTTTGGGTGCGTCAGCTGAGACAACCAGGCTGTTCAGTGTCAGTCGGATCACCCCGTGGAGGTGTTGCTGAGTCACGGGGCAGATCCCTTCATCCGGCAGCTCGATGCACCTTGGATTCCGTGCGGAGCATTGCGGAACTGTGGGGCAGCCTGAAACAAAAGAGTGGCAAATGTGAAGTCATCTCCCATTCTGATCCATTCTGTACATCTAGGAGAAGTTGTTTCATCATGTTGTGTATTGTTTTCTGAATTTCATGAACTATCTTTGTTTGGATTTGGTTTTTTGCACGGGGCCCCCGTGAAAGATGTAAAGGTCGATTCCATGCCGATGGAGGTTGCAGGATGTTGCAGGTGTGTTGGGTGCAGCATTTTGCTGAGGATCTAACTGCTTTGCACGTGGCATCCCAACGTGGTTCTTTGGAGGTCCAAATTCAGAGTAGCAGGGCGTACATTGGACTTTTACCACGACATGCGTCAAGAATTCTCAAGAAGCAGCTTCTAAAATCACATTCAATCCTTGGCAGGGCAAATTGGTGCACAGTGCATCAGGAGAAATTGGTTTCCTACTCTAGACTGTTGTTCCCAATCAGTGAGTCATTCAGCGGCAACGGGTTTCCTTCGAAGGTGTACATGCGCAAGCAAGTTTGCCCGCACATGCCCGCACAATAGGAGTTGAGTAATGTTGAACAGGCAACTGCACCTAGCCATTGATGTCAACAGAGCTGAGCAGCCCAGGATACCCCAGGATATTTGATCTTCCCACGAAAAGATATGAAAAAGAGCCCAGGCAAGGCCCAAGGTGCCGATCCATGATGCATCCCCGCAGGTGGCCCGAGAGATTGTGCGCAAAACTCCCTGCAGCAGCCAATCCATGCGAAGGAGACTCTTACGCAGTACTTCCAGCAAGGTCTGCTGTTCGTCCCCTGGTCCTGCATTGTGCTAAGCTTTTGGGAGCGCGTAGGAAAGCCCTCAAAACGTGATATTTAGAACATTTTTTTAACCTGATAAACCATGTATTGATATGGCAGAGGACAATGTTGGACGCTCAAACCTAGCACCTGGTGGAAGAAGCTTCGCAACATTGACATTCTACGGCCAGATCAGTTGCATGCGCCGTTTGATTCACAGTGCTAAGTGGCAGGGCACTGATGCCTGACATTCTGACCTCTAAATCAGGCGAGACATCACCAAGAACAAAATGGGTTTGCCTATGTTTGCCTCAATGATTGAAAAGCGACAAACATCATATAGAACCAGTGGGCCAACTTCATCCAATGTTCACCAGCTGCCAAGATAAAACCCTGGCAGGGCAGCGTCATGGACCTTGCCGGAACTTCTGAGATGAAGGCAGCCGTGCGAAGCGATGTTAAGATACTTCAAGTGTCAAGCTGACATCTTTCCATAGACATCCTTTTGCAGAAGGGGTTGACATTCTTGAAACTTGACATAACTTGACATTTTGGGATGCCGTGGTGTTGAGACGTGAGGTGATGCCACCACCATCCCAAACAAGTCACGGTCAATCCTCCCTTGAAAGGAGTTCCTTCTCAGCATGGATGTCTAAGCTTCCGAGGCTGGGCCAGGGGACAGGACTTGACATTGCCAACTGCGCCACTTTTGACAAAAGGGCTCCCTAGTTCCAGACGTAGTTTGCATGTGACCTGCGATCTCGTGACATCTTGTGACATTTAGCTGCATCAGGTCATGTGCATCACATTTCCTGGTTTTCCCCGGTGAAATTGTCGATCTATGCCACTCCCAACTCCGGGGATCAGCGCACGACCTCGGACGCCCCACTTGAGGCCTTCTACAGTGCTCTGTGATGACTGGACGAGATTTGCGTGACAGAAAAAAACGCCTCACTTTCCCGGAAGAATTACAAGAATTCTTTAGGGTGGTGATTGGCTATTCTGTTGGAACGTTGGAACCTGACCTCAACGTTGGAACACTGCCAACAACAAGCGGGGACCAAAACGCTGTGACAGTGGTAAAAATATTACTTGTCAGCTCAGCCCAGGCCTTTCCATTAGGCCCCATTTTATCAGAAAAAAACGCCTCACTTTCCCGGAAGAATTACAAGAATTCTTTAGGGTGGTGATTGGCTATTCTGTTGGACGTTGGAACACTGCCAACAACAAGCGGGGACCAAAACGCTCATTGTTGACAACTGTAAGAATCAAAGTGGGCAAGTGATGCTTGAGTGTGATTTGTTTATTTTGTTTCAAATTCTTTTGGTTTCCATGCCGACTCGCGACAAACATGTTGATCAACATGTTTGGATTGATTGACCAACTGTTATCAACTAACAACATTTTTTTGGTTTCTGCCTTTTTTTCTCAATGCTGGCCCGCAAAGCGGACCTTGCGCAGATGCAATTACGTAGAAGACTTATAGAACCGGACTGATCAAGTTCCAGTGTGGGGCCTAGCGAAAGCATGTTGCAAAACTGATAGGAACTGGGGTAGTTATGGCATAGTTCTGCTTTTCCACAACAGTTCTGAAGAGATCATTGGAGTCGGAGCAATTGAAATGGCAGTTGCTGCACGCGGAGCTTGAAAGCGACGAGGCCTGCCAAGGCTGCTCTACCCCATTTTTACATGTTTTTTTGCAAAGTTGCGCCTGCTCTGCGGTGCTTCATGTGGGTCCTAAAAGCAGGCGCAGGTGGATGGGTAATGATGGGTGTAGGTGCACAAACAAAGGCATTGTTTAACCACAGAGATCAGGACAGCATTTTTATTCATAAGACAGAAGGACCTGCCAGCTTGCAGGGCGCAGCAGCCCCCACGACCCTTCAGCCCCTGCACAAAGTGCAGACTTGGACTGTTGTTTGGCATGCTGTAAGTCTGCGCAAAAAGATCAGCTCAGCGGGCCCAGCCAACTTTGAATCGCATCCAGCAGCTACCCCCTTCATATTTGGCACGAATTTTTTTCCGCGGCTCACAAGCTGTGTGGAGGACCCATACAACATTCTGCAGCATGTACCCCCAGGACTGGTAGGCCCTGTGAGCCTCAGCTTTCCAGATTTGGACATCGAATTTACGAGTACAGTTATATTCCGTTGAGATGTAGGGCTGCGCAAACGGAAACGAGATGAAGCGAGGGAGGACCAAATTGCTCACAGAGACATGGATCTTTTCTGGAAGCACCTTTGCCGTTGGTGGACTGAGAAGATCACTTTGTGCTGGATTTGGCTTCAGGCCTATATGTGGTATAATCACTGAGAGATCTTGAGGGTACTGTTCTTTAAACATCAAAATATTATTTTGGAGCTTGCCATGCCATGCAGTTACTGACCCGGGCCGTCATTTCATCATTCAAGGTAGGATTCTTTGTTTCACTGGGTGCATTGGTTTGTGCCATGATGCAGAATGAAGGGAATACATAAATAAAGGGCAGCAATTTTCATTCCAAATTGAACCATTGTTTTTCGCTTTGGGATTTGAAACACGATGAAACGCCCAAGAGGAGTTCTTCTCACAAGACCAGGAGTTCTTGTCGCTGCATCCAGTATGATCCCATGGCCAAACGTAGCCGAAGCCCTTCTTGCAACACGGCAGATCCATTTGCGATAGAGGTGCGCTAAATGATTTTGGGTGGGTTTCTTTTGTATTTGCGGGCGCGTGTGTGTTTGTGTGTTGGTTGGTTACTAAACTACCAATCAACGTTGTATAACGTTATATAGGGAATCGGGAATATAAGCAATAGCAATTTGCCCACAAGTACAACAACCGTGGTGTTCAAGAAAACAGGAAGAGTCTTTCAGATGTCACTATATAAGTATCAATAATTTACATGGTCTCAGTGTCAAAAGGCCAACCCTCCAGCTTGTTTTTGTTGCGGCATCATTGATGCATCATCATTCTCGCGCCAGGAAGTGGCACCAACTCCAAGCATCGGGACAGAAAACGGCCTGTTGGGGCAGATCGGGGTGATCACAGGAATGGGAGGCACCTTTTGAAAGGAAATCATGGTACCATTGTCATTGTCATCATTGTTTCTCATGTTTCTTCGGGTGCAGTCTTTTTGGTGGAGCTTCAATTGGAAAATGGCAAGCTACCAGCATTTGTTCTCCGAGAGAAAGACATATTAATGTACAGTATTCAGTATATTAATAATCAATAAGATAGTGGTTCCATGTCAATAGCATATCAAGAGCATATTGAATGGTGATATGTTGGGGTTTGTAATGGATTTGGCTGGATTTTTGATGGCTTGTCGGCTCAAGACCCACGGAATGAAGCACCGTTGCTGCGTTGCCTGGCATCAAGTGAGTGGACTACATGTCTCTGATGATCTCTAATGGTATCCAACGTTAGATGTAGATAGACCTGTGGCATCCTGCGGCCAAGTGCTTGGTTTGCAACAGCTGACGATTTTGTCATATTCTGTAGTCCTGAAATTCAGCGATTTTGCAATGCCATTGGTAGTACATTTGGTGTCAACACAGCCCAGTGCCCAGCAGATCCCAGCAGGCTTGCTTGTTGACCAGTGGCCTCTTTGCCAGTGGCATCTTCTCTCGACGAACTTTGACGATGGCCAGTGGCTATGCAGGGCTCGCCCCAGTGCGTCCTGCACGCGATCCCAACGGCAATGGACCCTTCGATTGTCATGGCGTCTTGGCACCTGATCCAGCCTGATGCTGTGGTTTTTTAGGGCGGGTCGGAAATGCCAAGCGGATCCAAGTGAAAGAAATGTCAAAATAGCCTGAAGGACAGAGAGCTGGGTCCAAGCAATTGCCTCTTGAATCTTTGCGATTGGTTTTTAACCAAGATGAGTATGGTTGAGTTGAGTTCAAGAACATGCTTTTACATTTTTCAGCGCCTCTCTTTCGGGCTTGCTGTAGCTGCACTACATTGCAGTACCCCAAAGTGGAGGCAGCCCCAACTGGGTCAAGTATCAGTATGCGGCTCGACTCATTACGATGGAAATGCATGTCATGTAGTACACTGGACCAATTCACCAAGATGTATTTTAAAATTTTATATAATTATACACACACCTTTTGTAAGCAGTTGCACCATAAGGATCCATCAGGCTCTGTGCCGAAGCTATCTCCAGAGTCCCGCAATCATGATCAATCATCCAATCTCACATAATTTCACCATGTTTCATATCACATCAATTCACATCATATCACCATACTTCCCCACGTTCACCGCACATGTAACCCAGAAACGGTTCGGCCAGCTGAGTTTCTGCCGAGGTCAGGGCTCCAAGGTGACGGGTAGCTTTTGCCACGAGGAATGCGAAGCACGACATCTGGATCCCGTGGAGCGAACGCGCTGGGATGAGGCAGCTGGTTTCCACTATCCGGCCAAGCCCTTGGTGGTGATCACAGAGACCTGGTGGATGTTGATGGATGTTGATGGGCGGGGCCATGGGGAGCTTGATTTGAGTTGTTTGTTGATGTTGATGTTTGTTGGTGATTTTTTTTGTCCAAGTGATCCAACTGCACAAGCGGTGCTTCAGTAGAAGATGAAATCATGCGATCTCGGGGATATGGCATGATCGTGCAAGATCCATGAAGGCTGTAGCCACTGTTGTGAAAGATCGTTTCAGGGGTGTGCAGGGGTCTTTGGGATTTTCAGAGGTATCAAACAGAGTCGCATAGGACGTGGGTCAACTATGGTCAACTCAAAGCCAGGTAAACTAAAGGTACAGCTAGCCTATGTAGCTAGCCTATGTAGCTAGCCTTCTGGTGATATCAAATGATGGTAGAGGTGAAACCCTTCCAGCTGAGGCCAGCAGGGACATGAGTCGCACTGCATCCACCTGGGCCTTCAACGCAGTTCGTTTGCTGTTTCGACAAGCCAAGGACATCACCGTGAGGCAAAATCATGGGCCACGAGAACTATCGAGAACTGCTAGAAGCCCCACAAACTCCAGCCATTGTGTGGTCAGTTGCCATTGAGTTTTCAGGGGAATTCATACAGTGTGTTGCCTTCTGGGAATTTTGAAGGATGGCTGGACTTGGTTACTGGTAGATCGAAGTTGCTCCTGTAGCTTGCAAGATGGTAAGGACAGTATATACATATATCACGCACACATACATATATATATGATTATATATATATGATATATATGATTATATTATATATGTTATATTATATTATATTATATCATATCATATTATATTATATTATATTGTATTATATTGTATTGTATAAAACTATAATATATTATATTATATATTATATTATATTATGTTATATTATATTGTGTTTTATTATCTATACATATATATATATCATTGCAAGGTTGTTGTCTTTATGTCAGGAAAAGTTAAAAGATTATATGGGAATGATGGTATATCATATATATATATGTGGTAATGATTGATTCTACGACAATACCACCTGTGTCTTTGGTAGATATGTTTAGATATTAGCCTTGCGGTCATAGATAGACCACTAAAATAATAAATGGCCAAGTAGGCCAATAATTTAATTCAATGAATGGATGAATGTCACGACATGACATGACATGAAACGAAATGGGTGAAAGAAAAACAATAATATATATATAAAAAAATAAAAGCTACATGATTGGAAAAGTACGTGACCGGGATACAGAGAGGAACGGAGACAATGCAATGTGTATACATGTATATATAATTATATATATACAGGTGTGAAATATATATTGTTTATTCATTCGTCCTATTTATCCACATTTGCACGTGCATTAGACGCCTTCGCATATTGTGTGTGTGGTGCAGATGAATGCACATTCTTATATTGATTCACATACGCAACGATGTTTCAAAAGGGGCATGTTTTGCATTGATCCACTGATCCCATCAGCTCTTGCAGGAGGCTTGCGACTCATACTGGATACGACAGCGACTCAGCTGAGAGAGGCTTCGTTTGCTCCTTTCATATACCGCAGTGGCTGAGTATCTTGAGCAAGTACTGCCACCCTTGGGCGTAATATGGCGTAATTTCGCGTGCTAGTGGTTTTGTGATGATACCAATTGACCGTAGAACCTCGGGGAAACAACCACCAACCTTGCCTGGGGATGCCTGGGGGATGCCTGGGGCCCATGTTTCAGGTTGAGCCGTGGCAAGTTGGAGAAGCGTTTGGAGACTGGCGCACATGTGGTGGTGAAGACGCATGAATGGACAGGGCTGATCTCCCCCAAAACCTTCGATGATGCCAAAGAGCTCTTTAGTGGCTCGGAAATTTCATGGGATTTCAAGGAGGTAATGCAAATGATAATATAGTTAATATAGTGTATTGTAACGTTATAATTAGTATGTGCATGCTTTGCACAAACTTATGAGTTGGATAGATTGATTGACATATATATATATATATAAGTGCCACATGGAGTAGCTTCACAATGTGTTTCTGGCATAGAAAATTCCAGCACTTTTTCTCACCTTCGATTTTCGATGCTGACATAGTCTTGAGTGTTAGAAACTCAGGTCACGTGGTAGTGAGCGTGAGGGAGAACTTTGATGCTGACCCTGCCTGGATGAAGCTCGGAGCGTGAAAGGATGTCCAGGATGTGGTGTAAAGAAGGGATAGAAGGGCTATAGAAAGCTGATTCAGATCTGTTGATATTGTGTCTTTGTTTGGGCAGCTGCATCGAAGGAACTCTACAAGGCGGTTTGATTTGTTATTTGATTGGGCCCTGACGAGGCGGTTTTATGGATCATTCTGTTACATTTTATGTAGCTTTCTGTGGCTCTGAATTGGTTTCTTACCTTCTACTGCTACTTGTCTATGCAAAGACTGGACAGTTTTAGTTTCAGAGGTTGGGTTGTTTGCCTCTTCTTGCAAAATTTGTTTGAAAAGTGGCAATGCCAAAAGAAATTGATCAGGGAGATGGGGAAGGAGTGTCCAACTCGGGGCCTGCTTCATGGCATGGCCATGCATGGCTGAGGAATGTCGCCACACATTTGATTCACTTTGAAGAGTTGGTGGCGTATGACAAGGCTCCTTGACACAGGGGTGGCTCAACAGCCAAGATGCGGGAATTTGGAAGTAGAGTTTGCAGTGAGATAGTTGAAGTCCGCAGCGTTTCAGGATGCTCAATTAGGTTTCCGATGTTTTCTTGTTTTAAGTGAGCCACTTGCGTTGGTCACTTTCAGATTAATTTCAACAGACAGGGAGACCACACAGAAACCTTCTGCACAAGATGTGGCTGCGATCAGCAGAGGCCAACCCTGGAGATGTGAGTAAGATTGGTGCGCTGTCTGTGCTCCGAAAACTGGCAGATCACTTGGGATTGACGTCTCTCACCGACCACGACCTCAAGGTAACTTGTGGCACTAATGGTTTGGTTCATGTATGGCTTTGGTGGGTACTGGTATGTTGCAGTCGTTCCGTAATGGGTGCCATGGGAACTGCTTGAGAATCGCTCGATGCCAAGGTGGTGGATTATGAACTGATGGCCCTGCCGATTCCCTCGTGGGGGTGCGATCAGGCCGTTTGGACAGTGCACTTTTTGAAGTGTCCTTGGGTTGGACCCATGGCAACCTCCATGTCTCATCATGTCTCTCAGGCACTAGGTCACTAGGATCAAACCTGTTTTGTCGTTTCCCTTTCGTTCTTGCCACTGCTGATGGGCTGAACTTGTTTCCTACTCCAGATCAACATTAGACATTCATCAACTATGGGACGGCGTCAGATTCTTTGCCTCAAAACCCCAGGGTTTCCACATATATTTCCACATATAATTCAGTTTTCCACAATATGACCAGAATCAACTTTCAAATATTCCCACTACCTGTCATACATTTCCATATGGTTTCCATTCTTGCGCCGGCAGCCAGGTGACAAAGCACTGGCCTTTCCACAAGCGCAAGGGAGGCCGTCCCATGCCACCTGACCCACGCCTGGAGTGAGCTTAGTATGCTCCGATCCGGCAACGGTGCAATGTTTGTCACATGTTGTCACCAGGGTCACCGTAGCCACCAAAAAAAGCTGAGTTTCCAGATTTATAGGGATAGGATGGGATAGGCGGAAAGAAACTAGTTGAATCATGTTGAATCCAGTGGGCTGGTGGTACAGCCGATATGTGCTGCATGGAATGATTTCTGCTGCAAGATGCTGCATGTGAGACTTCGCCCCATGTCGGGCGTGGTAGGGTTCACATGGAACAGCGACCAAAGTGCTTGATGCATGCACAACAGTTGCACGCCAAAGAAGAGTTGTCGCTGTGTTGTGACCCGGACTTTTAAAATAGTGTTCCCAACCCACAGACATCCACAGACATACAGTGAGATACAGGAACGCTGGTTGGTGGTTTCAAGTATTGTTCAGTTCCATCCCTACCTGGGATGATGATCATCCACCATTGATGTTTAGGGGTGTCTCAACCATCAATCGGATTGCATTTAAGGTTCAAAAAGAGCGCAATGCGCATGGCTCGCAGCAGTATGTCCCTTGAACAGCTGTGGTAACATGGTTACATGCCAGTGGTCCAATCGTAGGAGCCTTTGTGGTCACCATGTTTTGGTACCCTTGGACCCAGGCGGGAGTCTCGGGGAAATGTCTTGAGAAGCGTTGCTATCAGGGCCGTAGAGCCTCGTCCGGTGGTGATACTCACTAGGTAAGGACAAGTGATGTGAAGCCAGAACTTCCTTTAGTCAGTTTATACACCGTATGATAGGCGAAAGAAACTATGAGTATGCTGGAGGTTGGGAGCAAGCTGCGCCCAGTATTTTGTACATGAGATATGCGTGATTCGTGATGTACATTTCTTGAGCATGTTTGATGTGTAAGCATATAAATCTCCAATGTTTGTTTCAATATTCCACAATTGTGAGGCATGTGAAGTTCTAAGGACGCTCCTGACCTTTCATTTGCAGGTTCAGAGCTGGACTGCATACGACGACAAAGGTGGACCAGCAGGGAATTATGGAGGGACACATGGGCACATTGCATGCATCGTCATAATTGTCTTATGTGCTTGGGCTTTGGATGCTCTACTAAGATGTATTTTTGGGGCTGCCACGGCAACTGTGCTGTTCTCAAACATGATGGCAGTGTACTTGTCCTTTTGCAACTTTCATGAATTATGAGTAATGGCCATTTATGTAGTGCAGGGACATATAGGAACAGTGCGGACATGCTTTGCAGAGAAGATGAGAGAAAGACAGGGTTCATGGGAGAGTTTGACATGGTAAGGCAGAGTATGGCCACGTATTTTCCACCCCAAACCCCCAACCTTTGTCCATACCGCCAAGCGCCGTAGAGTTGGCTGCGCCCAGGTGTTTTGGAAGCGAGGTTGAGTCACCCTTGAGCAAGTGGATTTTTTCCTTGGAGGAGGCCCAACAGCAGGTTGTTCTCTGGGATATCCCAACCTACACCTGCCTGACTTTGTTGAGCAGATGCTCCTCATGAATTAATTGGCCTTGCTATCATCAAGCTTCGGTTCTGGATCTCTTGCTATCAAATCTTGACTTTTCTCATTTGTTGCAAGTCTGACTTTCTTCTTCCCGCCGGGCGAATATTATTCCTATCCTTCGTTTCTTCTGGCAGGCTCTTTTTTTGCAGTCAGGGGCCCTCAGAAATCGATTGTGTCAGCAGGAAGGTTTTGCATCATTAAAAAAGACACAAGTAGATGACAGGGAATTGATACTTGACATTACTTGACACTGTTTGCCCGGCTGTTTTGGCGACGAATTGCAAGTTTCGCAACATCCAACCGACTATCCACTTGCAATCCTCCAGTGCCACTCATTTTGACGATTTGAGAATCGGGTAGAGGTGGTGAGAAATTCAAGCTGTCATGGGAGTTTGGTGTGCGCCGGCGAGTAACCGTTTCCCAACATCTCCCAGGGTCAAGGGCTGATCTCCTTTCTAATTGAAAGGTCTGAACTATCCATTCTGTCGATATGCGATGCCAGTGGCATGGCCAGATGCCAAGCTGGAGAGCAGGAGGTGAAAATAGTGGTTGAAAGTCATTTGGTTCGCAAGAACCCTTTGGACATCTTTGGACATTGCATTTCACTTGAAGCCACCATGACAAGCCCATGATCTCCTGATTCCAAGATGATTCTCACCTTTGACTATCACAAGGGCTTGGATTGATCCATTGATCCATTCATCCCAAAAATGAAATCCATGAGAATCCCCCCAAAATGGATTGACATATCAACATATCAATGAATGAGTCACTCAATCAATCATCTCACACGCATGTATATACATATACGTACAAATATGTATATATATATATATACATACTATACATATGCGGATATATATATATATATACATATATATACATACATATGCGTATAAATATATATATATATACACACATGTAATGTATATATATGTGTGTGTGTGCGTGTGCGTTTGTGTAAATAGAAGTTATATCTATATAATACACATCTACTGACTTGATTTCAGGATATCCATATATATCCATTAAACCTGTTTGTTCCTTGGTCTCAAGGCCCGGTCCTGTTCCGCTCCCCGCCGTCCCAGCACACGTGACGCCATGGCAGAGCTGGACGAGGAGGAGCTGGCCGTGGCGGCACCGGAGCCCGAGGAGGAGATCACCGATCTCAACGGCGCGGTGCGCGGCGTGACGCTTGGAGCATCCATGGGGGAGGGATATGGAGGGATGGACATCTTCGGAATGATGTTGAATGAAAATGGTGATTTAATGGTGGTTTAATGGGATTTAATGGTGATTATAGGGGTTCAATAAACCAAAAAACAGGGATGTGAGTGGATATACCTTCTCTGGTAATTTAACGTAGCTATGGAAAGATCCACCATTTTTGATGGGAAAACTCACTATTTCTATGGCCATTTTCAATAGCTATGTTAGTTTACCAGAGGGTATTCAATTATTCCAAAAAAAAAACATGTTCTGCTGTTTTGGACAGGCCGTCTGCGCAGGATGGAACCAAGAACAATGAGAGCTTTCAATAGATATATGCGTGATTTGAGATTGTTCCGGACGATACTGCAACCTTTAATTCGGAGGTCCTAGACTTTGGGCACGCGACGCAGCCCGGTCAGAAACGAAGTTGCGCGTGTATTCAGAATTTTTGGCCAGTTAAAATCAGCTTTTCAAACGCAGGTGAAATTATGGTGAAATGTTAGATGAGGAGTGCTACATTTTCAAAGGACTGGGGTTCTTCCAGGTCATCGCAATCCGCCAGGTTGAAGCGTGCCCTTCAGGTGGACGGCGTCATCCGAGGCCTCCATGAGGTGTCGAAATATGTCGAGGCCTGCAAGGCCCAGGTCGTCTTCCTGGCGGAGTCCTGTAGCTGGGCCATGGTTTTTGTTGGTGGAACCGACCGACTAAGGGAACTGCTGAAGTTGGACTATGGACTATGACTATGTACTGTATGTTGCTGATGGTTCGAGTTATCATGCATATAATATTATTATTATATATTATAATATCATATAATTCATATAATATCATGTTATATCATATAATGCCATAGAATGTCATATAATGGTATAGGGTATGAAAACGCTCTATATGGGTAATTAAGGCTCTCCCTTTAGATGATAATCCTTTACATCATCTACATCATCTCTATCATATCTACATCACATACATCCTCTACATCATTTGTATCAACTTCATCTACATCACATGCATTATCAACATCAGCCACAACAACTTTATCAACATCATCAGCATCAACTTCATCAACATCACATCCCCCTTCCCCCAAATAAATCCTAAAGGACTCCCAAGGCAAGAAACTAGTAAGAGCCATTACAGTTGAAAGCAGAATGTAAGGAAACAAGCCCTAAATGGCGCCTTTTTTTGGTACACACATCGCTTTAGAACGCGTAACCTCCCAAAGTGCTGCGCCTGTCAGTAGCCATGATGTCCTGTTTTTGGGCTGTGTTCTGAAGTGATGGCTGACATGGTGTTCTGAAGTGATGAAAAATGGCGGTGTTCCAAAGTGATGGTTTTCATCATGTCTTTTTCCTTCCTCGGTTTCGATGGAAAGTGGACTCTGCGAGCCATATCGCAGCAATATCGCAGCTTGGTAGCTCAGGCAACGAAGCAACATACAAAAAGTTGGTCCAAGGCCCCTTGATTCCTATTTGGTCAGCAGTCACTTTCTGTGTTTCAGTGGGGCGGTAGGAAGTATTCCTGGAAATCATCGTCTCAAGGTCGCCGATTTCCAGCAGCAGAGCTGAAGATGATGAGTCCATTGGAGTCACTGAGGTTTGTGCCTGGAGAAGAATGTTCCTGCCGCTGGGATTTGCACAGAATATCACACAATCTCACAGGGTGACCCCTGACATCCCCTGACCATCTTTTCCGTTCCTGTCCATTGTGCCCAGCTTTATCAGAGAATATCAGAGATCTGTAATGAGGCATAAAATAAAAAAGATTGTTCTGCAAGAGAGGACATATTTGACGCTTCAAATTTGGTATGATGTTTTTATGTCTTCAACCACCACACTGCATCCTGCTCTGATTTACCACCCTAGTACTCGATGGATCTTTGGTTCAACTTGCGCATGCTAAGGTGGTTGACGTGCCTGACAACAAGAGCTTGGGTGAATGGGCTGGCCTTTGCAAGATCGATGCTCGTCAGACTGGTCTGCCTGGAAACATTTTGGCTGCAGCAGGCCTGAGTTGGAAAGTGGCCTTCACCAACAGGGTCACCACCAGACCATTCTCAAAGGTTTAGCTTTCACATCCTCAACCAGTTCCCCCCATCAGTTTCCCATGTTTCCGATGGACGTTGCCGAGGACAAGGATGGACTTCCCAGAAAGGTCGTGGGCACCAGCGTCGTGGCCGTGGTGGACTTTGGAGAGGAAGGTGGGCAGTTCGTCTGTGTGCTGTGTGCACCATGGCGGAATGCAGTTGCATCTTGGAAGATTTGGAAGGCTTCACATGTCATGGCTTCACTAAATGCCTTAAATGCTGGAGGTGAGGCCTACAACTTTCTGATGAAGCATTTGGCGGGCAAGTAAGAGGGTCTTGTCAGCTGCGAACGGCTGCGGATGCGGAAAAAGTACAGCGGAGCGCTTGACTGGATTTGACTGGCCATTGCTCTCCGGTCTCTAAAGAAAACCACTCACCAGATGCATTGCAAGGCTTGTCAGAAAATGAGAAAGACGATGGACACCAACCTTGCATGCATCGTTTGTAGTTGTTTCATTCATTATGAGGCACGTCCGTGATCGTCAACGTGTGAAATATGTTGAAGGACTGCCGCGAGTTGATGCTCTCAGGTCCTTTCCGTTCAGGATTTCTTTGGTCAATGCTGCGCGGTGGCACAAGCCTTAGGGCCTTAGGGCGCCTTAGGGATCTTAGGGGCTGATCTCCCATGATCTTGCAGTCACATGAGTAGCCCTGTTTGCACTTGTTTATTCTTTGTAACTCTTCGGTACTCTTTGTATTTCCCACTGCCTTGCTTCAGGTGCCACGATTTTCATGGCGATTTGCTGCCTACCGCCACTATCGACTGGCTGGTTGGGTTGTGCTGACCTGAGAAGCATGTCAACCTATGATCCCTGTCAGTTGGACCGCAGTTGGCCTTCATGAACTGCGAAAGTCAGCAGGGCACCGCTACTGGAAGTCGCATTCAAGCATTCTCTGTGTTTCTTTATATGTTTCCATTATTTTCCCTCATTTTAGATAGCGCATTGCGAACCCATGCTGGTTGCTGAGTCTTTTATTCTTTTCATTCTATTGCTGAAAATTCTGAGCTGTGTCAACAGAACTGACACTTTAAGTTGCAGCTTGGAAACTGGTCAATCTCCTGCAAGAGTTCAACTAAACATGTTCAGGACATGATCGTCTTTGCGCTTCGATCATTGGAAGTTCGCTTACCACCTTACCCCAAACACCTCCCACTGTGGCGCGTTTCTTATGCGAGGTGCGTCCGGATAGCTTGAAATTTGGGGCAGATTTTCTGCTCTATGATGGGGCACCCAGCGAGGCGTGGCAAGATCGAATTTCGTGACCTGGGTGATTTGAGTTGATGCATTACTGAGAACTGGGGACATTCAACTGTCACATTTTATGCATGGATAGCACTCGAATGCACTGGATGACTTTTTGCAAAATGTGGATATTATGGATCAGTAATGATCAGCATGGATCAGTCCAAAAGTGGCTCGAGTGAGGACATACTGTACTTATTTTCTTTGTAGCAGATTTGGGAGAGTCCTAAGTTGAGGTAGTCAATTTGGCGGCCTTAGGCATGAAACCCGAAGTGCACCTGGGATGTCCAGGTGCATGCCCGCTATGCCGTCCTCCTCGGGGATCAGCAGCTGCTGTGGAAGGCCATGACTATCCACGGCCGAAAAAAGTCACAGCACTGCTGCAGCGGCCAGGAGGCCATCATGGCCAGTCGTTTGGCGCAACTTGTGGCGAAGGAACTCCTGTTGGGACCTGATTCTGGGACCTTGGGAGAAAATGATGGGATGTGATGGCATGGCCATGGTATGGTTTCCTGAATTCATAGGAGCTAAAATCGACATGAATCGAAGCACTGGACAGGACCAATATCAGCAAAAAGATGCAAAAAGAAGTATATAGTGACCCGATCCATGAGTTTAAGTTTACCATGGCTCAATGTTGGGCCTCAACGTTTCATTCATTGGGCTCAAGGGCAGAGAAGAACTGTCTTGTGATGACGCCATGGCCGCCACATCACAGAAGCACAGGAGCAAGAAGTCACTGGGCCAAAGACAGCTCAGTGATGCTCAAACTCTCTCTGGTTGGGATCGTTGGCACTTGCCATCGGTGCAAGAGATTTCTTTCTCGACCACACCACTGGCTGTTCATGTTGAACTGCAGAAATCAGCTGAAGTCTACCTTCAAGAGGCAGATGCTATGCGATTCAGCTTTCCTGAACTCGTTTGGTCACGAAATGGGAAGCCAGACAAGGTTTCCTTGGGCCCCCGGAACCAACAAGAAGACTGGCAACGCTTTCGGCCAATTTGCCCTGCAATTATGGAGGCAGTTGATCAACTGCTGCGCTCATTTGCCGACCAACGAGTAGAAGTCACCTTTGGAGATGTTCTGGACTATGGACCTGGCCATTTGCTGGGCTGGCACCAGGACAACATGGATTTGAAACGTCACTTGTTCACTGTAGTATTAACACTGGCATCAGATGGTGATGGTCGCTGTGAGTGGAGGCGTATTGCTCATGATGGTAAGGATCTTGAAGAGCTGGTTGCATCTACAATGCCTTCCTTTGGTAACCTTGCCATTCATGGTCTAACATGCAACAACGAACTGGCACACCGTGTCTTTTGGGACCAAGGTCGGCGTGTGGCGCTAGTTCTGTTTTGCCGCTCCGCAGAAGCGGAGGCGGTGCTCAACAAGGAAGGGACGAAAAGTTGTCTCTCCATGAGATATTGGTGGACGAAAGACTACGAGAGTGTGAAATAAAAAAAAGGCTGCGAAGAAGGCAGACATGTGATGCAACGTCACGCGTTTGTATGATGTGAAAATGTTCTCAGTTACAGTGCTCCTCTTTTTGCGTTTTTCCTGGAGAGTTATTGGATGGTTTGGCACCGAATAGCAATGGTTGGGCAGTGTTTTAGCCCTATGAGCCACTATGAGTTGCTGACTAAGGGTAGTGTTCCAACCAGAAGAGGGCGAGACCACCTTGGAAAGCACTTGCAGTCGAAGGATTTTGGCGCTGACTGTGAGGCACTGGCTAAGCCGGCTACGGGAGTTATGACTCCGCTCAAGGGAAGGGTCATGTTTTGTTTGCCGCATGCTATTTCTTTGTGGGAAAAAACATAATGCGTACTGTTTGGCAACATGGCGGGTGGTCAGTGCTTGATTGAGATTTGCACCTCAGACTTGACCCCTGAATGCCTTGATCAGCGGCGATATTCTTCAGAAGCGTAAGAAGACGAATGTCCATTCTTTCTCCTGTGCCTGGCTCGCTTATCCACACCTGAAACTGCGTGCTGTAGATCTAGATGATGATGATGATGATGATGATGATGATGGGAAAATCGAGGCTGCATTCTTCGCTGAAACCTGCGCACAACTCGCAACGCTTGGATACCTGTAAATGAACTAGATGCAACCTAAGCAAAATGCATTTCGGACAATGACTGCCTGCGGAGTGCCCCATCAAACGAGCCATGTAGAGGCCCTGGCAGCATCATTTGGGCAGCTAACGGCAGCATGGACACTGAGCAGGAAGTCAGCGGACTTGCAGATGCGAAGGCCAGAGATGCCACAAGTGTCCACATTCTTGGGGTATTTTGGGGTAAGAAACCTGAACATTTTATTGCCCCAGCCATTTATCAGTATCGGCTTCTGCCCGGAGCGCAGGCAGGCCATCCAAAGCTTCGGCCAAAAGGTAGACAGAGGCGATCAGGGTAATTGATTCATATTGATTCTATTCATCTGGCAATATCCGGCATATTTGGCCCACCATCTGAGTCACCACTAGTGGCTGGACAGGCCCAGTGCTGTGTCCTTGGGAAGTGGTGATCCCCCCGCAGCGCTCTGCAGTCTGCGCCATGGCAATGAGTTGATCGGTGGAACCGATGCCGCTGTAGTCACTGTAGTCACTGTGGTCTTTGGCGCTATGGAAAATCATGGGCCCGGTTTTTCCATACCTAAATGATCAGTACCCTCTGGTAAACTAACATACCTATGATTACCTATGGAAAATCACAATTTTTAATGGGAAAATCCACCATTAATGGCCATTTTCAATAGCTACGTTAAATTCCCAGAGGGTATGTTGAATTGCCTGAGGGTGTGGTTCAAGTTTCGTCCACTTGCTGCTTGCAATTGCTTTTGCTGCAAGTGCTATAGATGGCATTAGATGGCAGTCGGCCTGATGACCAAAATTGTGGAGCATTTTCTTGAATCAGCGTTGGTCCATGTATTGGTGCTCCATATTGATTTGCTGTTCCTGAAGCCATGGACATGCATGTCATGACTCATTGTTGTTGTTTTTCTTGATGTGTTCTATTGGATGCTATTACGGCTGAATTGTTCCTGAGCCATGGCACAAGTGACAAGCCTCTTGGTGCACTTGTGACAGGCTTTGTAAGGGAGCTGATATCACCCGCAGTGGCTCAATACGGGCCCGGCTTGAGCTTGGCGGAGTCATTGAAGCTAACGAATGGCCACTGACAGCATGGAAGCATATGGAAGCCATCCCAGTCAGCCCCTCATACAGCTCCAGAATCCAGCATCACCAATGGTAGGATGCATTGACTCGGCCGATCATCACGCACTGCATGCCATGACCTTTGCAAGAAGCCCCCATGGCGCCAACAACCGCGCGCTTGGGATCCTTGAGGCGTCGGGGGTTGATTTGGGATCAGGCCATCACTTGCGTATAGCAGACTGACGATGTCAGATATCAATAGATATCAAATAGCAAGTATCCTGGAAAGAAATCCAGATGCTTCTGGACGAGCCAAGACTTGGGAGCCCATTAAAGACTATCTTCAGGCTAGATGTACCACAGGCCGCTGGAGGCGGCATTTTTACACACTCCCAAGTTGCATCAAGTTGCATTCTGTCACTGCTGAAGAGGTTGAACTTCTCCAACAGTCGGCTGTCCTTGCCGAAGCTCTTAGATGCCTTAGAGGGGTAGCAATCTCAGAATCGGGGAAGTGGTGGTCCTCATGGCCAAGCACCTGTGGCTACTACTTGGCTTGTTTTTGGCGTGTTAGTATCCTTGCAAGTGGCAGGAGATGACATTAGTGTACATTCGTGATGATAAGTTCTATAGATTTCTATAGTGTGTCTAAGCCTCCCATTGCTTTGCTAAACTAACCACGACCGACATGTGGCCCCAAGGTGGCCCAGCAGCATCCCACCTGTTGATCCCAGGTTACCCTACGAACGGATAGATGAGCTGAATGCTTCTTGACTTCATTACGGCAGTCTTTACCCGGGGCCACTGGGTCAACTAGTTGCCGGGGTCAGTTGCCTGAAACGGAGGAAACTAGCAAGGTGCTCCAAGCAGCCGTTGGTGAAGGCGGAAAAGCAGTGCTCATTGGCTATGGTTTTTATATGTAGTCAAAACTGGGGTGGATTGCCCCTATTGGATCCTATTGGGGGATGGTCATGAATTTGTCAATCCTTTGATAGGGCTTGAAATACCCATTCTAATCTATTCTATGGATTCACCAGAAGAGGTGAATGACCATAACCCACGTTGTATACCATGTTGTTTTCATGTGACCTCAGTCTCGGACAGTCTCAGTATGTATCTAGGATAAGGCCGTAGACCTAGAGGAAAATCCAGCGCGCCCACAGGCTTCACAGAATGATCTCGGTGATCGATCGCAGCTGCCTCAGCGCATCCCAAAATGGGCCAAACCCCAACACATTCTCGAATCATGGGCTCGGCCAAAATGCTTGGCAGTACCAGCCTGTGTCTGCTGGACAGCAAGAAAGATGATGAGGCTGCTGTGCCTGTGTATGCCTAGGAACATGAACGTTATTATCTCACCCCACACCACCCCAGCAGTAATACAAATGTTACGAAATCTCACTGCCGCAAGTGAGTGTGGTTTTTAATGTATGATAAGAGTCTTACTGCCGCAAGTGATGGAGTCTTACTGCCGCAAGTGAGTGGAAAATCCCAAAATTCATTGCAAACCAGCAGTTTGGATCCTACGCTTTTGAAAAAAAACATGCTTTCAGTCACGCTTTGAGCTAATGATTGAAACGGTAGCGGCATTTTGCCTGGCTTAGCACTTTTGGCTTTTCTCGAAACCCCGAGTTGGTCTCAATGGACATGTTTTTGTTCAATCATTCATTCGAAAGCAAGACAAGAGAGATGGTCTTCAAAGTTTTGCAAGTCACATTGATTGAATCTGATGCGTGCAGCTTGTTCACTCCTTAGAGTATGTAGTTGTTGTCATTAGTTTACCTTACACAAGTGACAGTGACCCTGTAATGCCGCCATGAGAGCAAAGCAACGGAAACGAGGCAAGCGACGTCTATATGTGCTGTTCGTATGTTTATGCTTCCATGTGCTTGTTAGACAGCTGCTAACAAGAAATTCACCTTGACAGGCTGGGCCATTTTGGCTACAGCGTGGCTTGTCTCCAGGCTTGTTGCCTCACCCTTAGTTGGCAGATCCCAAAGTGGAGTTGCAACTTACTTCTTTTTGAGAGCCTGTTGCCAATCGAATTGGGTCCCGCATTTGTGCCTTAAGGTGAGCCCATGCAGATCTTTCTGTTCGCAAAAGCCTAGTCAGCGACACGGTTTGGGACGGCTTGCAGCACCAAACAAGGACCATACAAAGGGAAGAACCGTTGCACCCACCTCACAGACGTCTTGCGTTTTGTGCACGTCAGGCAAACTTAAAGGTTTGACTTTTAGAGCAATCGTATGTTGTTTCCATTTGGTTCGGTGCAGGACCCACAAGGAATCAAGCCAGTTGAGGAGATGGGCTGGTTGACGTCCCCAAAAATGCGCTGACTTGAAGTGCTCCTTCCGAAATGCGACCCCAAAACATAGCGGGCAATAATTCCTATGTTCCCATTCAGCTCTGCTTGGTGACCTTCCGACGAATGAACTTTTGCCATGGAATTTGTAACAGACAACTGAGTCAGAGTGCTTTCATAGCGCCTTTTTTTCAGCCCGCAGGAATCGGCAAGAGATGAGGCACACGGCTGTTAGCCAATTGAATTCCCGTTTTTTCGCAAAAGACACCTTCACTTTGTCCAATTGTTGAAAGCCGTTGCTTCACGTTTCGTCTTCAAAGCCTAAACCTCTTCTTTCAAACAACTTTGCTCTTGCTTCGAAGATTCCCTGCGACATGTCACACATGTGACGTGATTGCTCTAAACCTGTCATCTAGTGTCCAGTTTTGTTTCTTCAAACCGAAAGAAACAGAAGAAAGACAGGGAAGTCATCAGAGTATCAGAGTTATGTGTTGTTTGCAACAGACTGCGCTCAGACTGCACATGAAGCCAAGAACATCAATTCTATTTGAAGAGACGTTCTAGTTAGTCTTCATCCCTTATGTTCTCATTTCCCGGTTTGTCTTCATATTTAGTTGTTGTTCCGCAAAAACTGGCTCCGCTATGAGCACCTGTGACAGGTTGATGCCTTGACTTCGGCACAACGTCAGCTGCAGCTTGCTTTGGACCAGCAAGAAACCGCACAAGCGCAAGTAAACAGTGCGCAAGTGCAGGTAAATATGGCTGTGGAGGACTTGCAAACAGCCAAAGAAACAGGAGATGAGGAGAAGGTCGAAAGGGCAAAGAAGGAGGTGGAAAAGGCGGAGGAGAAGGTGGAAAAGGCGGAGGAGAAGGTGGAAAAGGCAAAGAAGGAAGTGAATGAGGCGGAGGAGAAGGTGAAAGCCCAGCAGGAGAAGGCCATTCACTGCACAGCTTCAGTGTGGTCACAGTTCTCCCGAAAGATGCAAAAATAGATGAAAGCTACTTCACATATCTTCACATTCTATGGTTCGAAGTCAGTTCTGTTTTGAGTGAACCCTCAGTATGCCTCCAAAAGATGAATGCATCCCAAATCACACGGTAAACAAAAGGATGGTACGCAGGACTGAAAGAACCAGAGAGGCAATAACATCTTAACAGACTTAAGACGACATCTTAACACCCTCTTGCTCCAGGTGCCAGGCTTGGAGGAGAAGGAGGAATCCCTAACCTTACTTGAAAAGTTTGCCGAAGAGTTGGGTGATCTTGAAGAGCGCATCTTGAACAGCCGCATCAACAACATAGAAGAGAGGCCTTTCTTGGAGAGGGATGAAGTGATTCAAAGCATCGTGACAGAGATGAAGGAGACGCAGCGGCTGAAAATCAACAAACCAAGAGTCGTTTGTTTGTGGAGCCCTCGAGGGATGGGAAAGAGCTCGGTCATTCGACGCCTGGCCAAGATGGATGAATTTGCAGAAAGCCGACGATGTGGACGCTTGCTGATATTCGACGCAGCATGGATTCCCTCTGGTCAAATGTCGGTTGAAGCCTCTACGTTGGTGTCTGCCATGGTCCTGTGGCACCTTTTGCAGCTGCTTGACGGCTACGGCGTTAAGTTGGCGGGGCAGGTGGTCAACTTCAAACGCATGGATTTCAAGGATGTGGTCGAGGTCGTCGAACGTCGTTCAAGACCAACTGGTTCGGTCAACAGCTTTGAAGCTTGGGTTAGGTCAGCTTGCACGACTAAGGATGATGTTTTCAAGCAGTGGTGTTTGGTAACGGCTGCAGCCTTCAACGCTCAACAGGACTGTGCTTGCTTGGTGTTGTTGGATCAGACTGAGCTCCTTGTCAAACAAACGCTGGATCAGCGAAGCTCCCTTGGCGGAAGCAGATCAAGGTTCACCGAAGTGTGTAGCCAGTTTCCTCAGCAGATGGCTGTTTATTGCACAGTTACCATCAATATGCAGGTTGACTTGCCAGCAGAGGAGTACACGCGTCTTGTTATTAAGTCTTTACCAGCCCTCATGCCATTATCTTTTAAAGGTGCCAAAGAAGCCATGGTACAGTGGGGAGGGACACAATACGGCGAGGAGGTGCTCGATCAAATATATCTTTTCTCTGCTGGGGTCCCACGACTTCTGGAATATGTGTTTCAAACAGATGGTAAATTAGCATCAACTTTTGAGATTGCATTCAACGCCATGTCCGAATGTTTTAAAAATTCCTATTCATCTGCAGCGCCTTTCTTTGATCAACCAGATGTGGCATTGTCGCTGGTTCTTTGCTCAGCAGTTCGTTGGAACGCAACCGACAGGGAGCTTGTGCCTGGGACATCGACAAGGTGGTCAGACATTTTCAACGCAGGAGCCGCATTTCCAGATGGCGCTTCTGTGTTGGTGCCGCTCGTTTGGTGGTTTCGGGATCAGAAAAGACAGAAAGTGCTGGCTCAAAAGGCCCGAGGGTTGAACATCAGCCTCGAAGGTCTCTTGCCAGATCCTGCCGATTTGCTTCAGGCTCCACAACAAGGCCCGCTTTCCCGAGGGACACTGTGGGAAAAGCAGGTTTGCAATGCTTTGGCCGCCCGTTTTTATTTGTATTGCCTGGCAGATCACAAAACTCCATGCGACACCTACGCACCGTTCCTAGAGATCTATCCTACGACAGACAACCATCTACGCAGTGTATTGGAACAATTCAGTGTTTGCTGGAGTGACGGGGTCGAGCATCCAGATGAGGAAGCAAGTGTCCTTGACAGGGTCGGGAAGGCTATCAAGTCCAACAAGAACATCAAGAATGCTCACCATGACTTGCTGATTCCTGTGAAGCGAATTGAAACAGGAGATCTAGAGTATATAGCCGCACAGTGCTGTTACGGAAATCCCAAAACTGCAACGGAGTTGACTAAAACATGCCAGAACAAAGCGTGGAAACCCAGGACCAGTGACCCGAGCTCGGAGGTTCCTGACACGAATGTACTGTTGCAAATTTGTTCCACAAGTGAAGGGATGCAGAAGTTCCAGAAAACTACACCCTGGGCAAAGCGGCAAGAGGAGAAGAGATATTCACTGATGAGCTGTAAAGCTATCATTGCGCAGCTTCACATGCTCCGCATCTTGTGATACAACTGAATCATGTAGCTATGGCTTTAGCCCAAAGAGCTCATAGCTACTCTTCTCAGGTCTTTTTCATGCGTATGGGCCAATTCGCATCGATTTGGTGGAAAAATAAGTAATGTGTACAAGGTTCGTTCCGGTACGAGTGCATATTTTTGAGGACATGTTTTGGTAAATTGGCTATACTAGTCCCTATCATAGATACATATTTTGGGAATTTTTGGGAGGATATTTATTTGAAGATTTAGAGGCGGCCCTGGGTCTTGGATACGTAGGTTGGGTCCCGCCATGCGAGGCCCAAGAAACTGCTGCGACTTCTGCCGCAGCTCAGGTCGAACCTGTCTGACCATTGCTGACCTGTGAGGGGAAACCAGGGTCACAAGCATTCACAACTCAATTTAAAAGTTGAAGTTGACCTCGTCGCAGTCAAAACTCGCTTCATTTCCAGTATCAGATGGCTACCCTTACAAGGAGGGGTCTCTAATACTTGTCGACATGCTCGGTCATACACCATTCCGTAGCTAGAATGTTCATGCAACACCGTGCAACATTCTACCCAGAGCGACATAGAGCCACAGATATAAATCATATATAACCCTACCCATCTCTACCCCCTGCCAGGGTCTTGCGTTTGAATAGTGCTGGTCTCAGTGCCGAAGGCGCTTGAGGGAAGATTTGCTTGGGGGCATTTTGGGGCAATGCCCAGCATGCGCCTGCGCTACATTCTTTGGTTAATCCTTTTGCAATTCTTGGCCAATCAGAGCCAGATCCAGACAAAAAATATCAAAAAAACAAATTCTTCAGGTTAAGGATTCAGCAGCTGTCCTCCAAAAGTCCCAAAGTTTTATTAATAGTTGGAATATCTTGAAGCCTTCAACATCACTTCACCCCTACCCCAGCAGGTCTGCGAAACGCCATTGAGGGCTTGACGGAACGTTGGCCTGAGCGCCCAAGGAACGGGGACAGTGCCCCTTGAGCTGTGAAGCAGACTTCTTCCGGCACGTACAACTGGGACAACTTCCTTTTTGGAGGGTATGGTCACAAGTTGGTGTGACTCATAGTCAACTGGGGTCCACGAATCCACGAAACTTTGGAATTTGGACATATATATTTGGAATGTTTTTGACTGCTGTAGTCAAGAGAATGCTCCTTGGAAGATTTGACAATTATTGAAAATCGTTGATTGCATTTTGGGGCAACCATGGGCGTTTGATGGCCAAAGGCTGGATGGCACAGAGGTCTTGGAAACTTCCCAGAGCAAGGAAAAGGCGCTTGGGAGCCTCTGCAATACAAGTCGGGATTGACAAAAATCAAGGGTTGGTTTCCGGAGATGGGTCATGGTAAGTCATGGTTTGGGGCCAGCCGGACAACTGTTGCAATTTTCTCGACTCAGCCCATTGCCATTTCTGGTTAAATTCCAATGCCATTGCATCATTGTTGTTGCAGGTTCTGTTTTGTTTTACACCACCTGGCCTCGCAGAAGGACCGCGCCATCTGCACTGCTTCAACAAAATGTACGGGGGCCAAATTCTTAGGCTTGGCAGAGGCAGAATTCCTCAACCCAAGGCGACAAATCAACAACTGGGGTATCGGGCTTCGCTTCTCCATACGCTGCTGGAGGCCTCTGGGAATTCAAACCCATAGACTTGTACAGTTGCGTTCGTTCAGATCCCTAGATCAGCCCAAACATGCCCAAACTATATACTGGTTTGATTTGTAGTGCAAGTGATGATAGTGATGCCCCTGTCAGACCGTGTCATTCCGCGTTTACCAGAGCACCTAAACAAGGTACCAGTGCAGCTGGGTGTGGCTTCCAAGTGGCTGTGGGAAACTGGACCAAATAGTACAGAATCTTTTTGGCGAACAGGATGATGGTTTTTCCCAACAAGCTAACAAGCTTGGGGTGTACTTGATAGGTTTAGGAAAGAAACATGTGTAAGCTCGGCAGGCCTCAATGGTCAGTCAGTGGTGCTGAATTTAGGTTAGCTTGAAGCGTTCTTGATGGCTAAGGTCTCCAAACAGTCGGCGTCCAACCACTCCAGCTGTGACTGTGTGCAAGCTGCAGGCCGTACAGCTGATTGATGATGATTCCTCTCGAACAGGATTGGATTTATTTTTTCAAAAATTGGAGATCGGCTAAAGACCCATGCTCGCCTCCGTCAGGTCCTCGAGATGGCTTCTTGCAACGCGGATGCCGCGGCGCCATCATCAGATGTAGGGAATGGTGTGAAGGAGTTACTTGGGTATATATGGGTATCTATGGGTATATAATATATATAATGCTATCTCCCAGGACCAAGGGCCTCAATCAGTCTCCGCATCGCACCTCAGCACCAGGTGCCGGATTTGGCCTTGTACCTTGCCAGCCCCTGCTGTAGCCTCACTGAGCTGGATTTGTCCTGGAACTCCTTGGGTTGGGACTCCCAGGTCATCAGGTCCCTTCCTATGCCAGCCTGGCGTTGCATCGATTTGCGCACAGGTCCCCATGCCGTCCAGCAGTTGGGGTGGCATCTTCGTTTGACTCTAAGCAATGGATCGATTTTAGGAAGAGTCCATTGCTGACAGGTGGAAGCCATGCAATGCCTGACTCACGGGCCAAGGTCAAAACGTCACGTTACGATCGCTGAAGCCCAAGACTCAGCTCCTACTCGCAGGTGTTGTTGTGAAGGGCCAGCGTGATTGAGAGCCTGTCTGTTGGGCAGGGTGTGACTGCCCGCATCTTCAGTAGATGGAACACAGATGCCAAAGATACGCTGTAAGAATCGGTTTGCCCAAGTCTTCCTGAACTCCCTCAAGAGAAAAAAAAAAGTAACCCCTCAGGGAACATAGACTGAGAGACAACTTTCTGGTGGAACTAGCACAGGTTTAGGGCAAACTCGGTGGAAGGTAAACAAGCCAAGATGAGCATCTTGGGAATGTATGGAATGTGTTCACGGATTTTGCTGTATCCTTTCAAAGTTCATTGCTGGAACAGCAAGCTGTGTGGTCGTTCCATGTTGCCAAGGCTGGCGCACTGTCACTTGAAACAATCAGCAAGCGTTGCTTGGCTGGAATTCTTCTAGTCCATTTCCGATTCCACCATCAAATCAAGGCAAGTTTCAAAATTCGTGATGCCATTTGTGTGTCCATTGCCCCCATGTGTGTTGCTATGTGTTGTATTCAGGAACCAACGCCACAGAAATGCGGCAACAGCTGTAGGGGGCAAAATAGGTGTCGGAATCCCTAGCAGCTTGGGAAGAGGTGCTCCTCGCATGCCTGAGCACAGCAAAGGGACTATCTTTGGAAAGGCGCATCTGACTAGCAATCTGTCAACTCCTAGCCGCTCTTATCTCTGAAGTGATCAATGTTTCATGACAGTTGTGGATGGTTTAGAAGTTTAGAAACAGGTTACCATTTTTTCATTGTTGTAGAGGGCCCATTTTCGTCCCAGAGGGGCCCAGGTCAATGAGAGAGATCGCCCGGCCAGGCTGGACCTGTCGCGAAATGACATGCCCAGCGCAGCTTTTGAAGAGCTGGGAGCTTACTTGCCAGATCGTTCCAGCGGGTTTGGAAGTCTCAGTTCATGCCCCAAAAAAAGATCAAATAGTGCCGGTGAGGGGAGGATCCTGACAAGCGTTTATTTGGGGCTGGGTGAGTTTCGTGAGGCTACCTTCACTTTAAGTGGATGTGGCATGATGTGGCCATAATTTGTCAAGATCGAACTATTCAAACCTGATCAATCCTGAAAATACCAACTATACTCTTAGTTGGCAGACTCCTGAAGTCTTTCTGATTGTTCACGAGCGCTCGCAGCTGTTTCACACCCAACAACTGCAGGAAATTGACACAACAATCATCAGTGACTTTCCTTGCCCGAAAGGGTGGCCCCATGGGAAATGCCACGCCCTGCCGTGCGATCCAGGACACTGAGACCATCGAAGCAGCTGATGATGCTACCAGCTGCGGGGTTTGTGTGCATGAGTACTTGTTTCCTATGTATGTGGTGAAGGCTGGGGCATGCTGCCATTGG